CCCTCTCTCGGCTCCGCCGCCGTGGTCTCCTCCGGTATCATCTCCATCGCTGCCGCCTCCGCCGAGGGCTGCTCCTCCCTGGAAGCAGGAGCAGGAGATGAGCAGAGCCCAGCCAGCAGCCCCCCGGGCGCAGCGCCCACCTCTCCCGGAGGGACCCAGGGGTCCCCGGGGAGCAGCGAGGGGAGGGGACCCCATCCCAGGAGGGCGCGGGTACCTTTGGCAGGCGGCTGGGCAGCTCAGGCTCTGCAGCAGAGCCGGGCGCGGGGGCTCGGGGCCCCTCGGCTGCTGCTGCTTCTCTGTCTCCTCCACCTTTGCCTCTTTCTCCCCTTCACCCTGAGCCTTCACAGCAGCCGTGGCCGCTGCCTTTGCGGGCTCCTCGCCTCCATCCCCAGCCTCTGCTGCAGCTGGGGGGGCTTCCACCTTTGCAGCTTTCTTCCCTCCATCCTGCACCTTTGCAGCAGCCGGGGCTTTCTCCTTTGCAGGCTCTTCTTTGCTTCCATCTTGAGGCTTCTTTGCAGCTGGGGTTTTCTCTGCCTTCCCTCCATCCTGAGCCTTGGCAGCGGCTGGGGCCTTCTCCTTTGCAGGAGCTGCGGATTTTGCCTTTGCAGGCTCCTCTTTGCCTCCACCTTGAGCCTTTTTTGCAGCTGGGGTTTTCTCCACCTTTGCTGCTGCCTTCTCTCCATCCTGAGCCTTGGCAGCCGCTGGGACCTTCTCCTTTGCAGGCTCTTCTTTGCCTCCGTCCTCAGCCTTTGATGCAACTGTGTTTTTTTCCATCTTTGCAGTTTTCTTCCCTCCATCCTGCACCTTTGCAGCAGCCGGGGCTTTCTCCTTTGCAGGCTCTTCTTTGCTTCCATCTTGAGGCTTCTTTGCAGCTGGGGTTTTCTCTGCCTTTGCTGCTGCCTTCGCTCCATCCTGAGCCTTGGCAGCGGCTGGGGCCTTCTCCTTTGCAGGAGCTGCGGCTTTCTCCTTTGCAGGCTCCTCTTTGCCTCCATCTTGAGCCTTTTTTGCAGCTGGGGCTTTTTCTGCCTTTGCCACTTTATTCTCTCCATCCTGAGCCTTTACAGTAGCTGGAGCCTTCTCCTTCGCAGGCTTTTTATCAGCTGGGGTTTTCTCTGCCTTTGCAGCTTTCTTCCCTCCATCCTGAGCTTTTGCAGCAGCTGGGGCCTTCTCCTTTGCAGCAGCTGTGGTTTTCTCCTTTGCAGGCTGCTCTTTGCCATCCCGAGCCTGTGCTGCAGCCAAGGCCTTCTCCTCCACGGGTTCTGCCTTCCCTCCTTCAGCCTCCGCTGCAGCCGGAGCCTTCTCCCCCGTGGGCTCTGCTTTCCCACCACCCTCAGCCTCTAACCCACCAGGGGCTTGCTCCTTTATGGGCTCGTCCTTGCCTCCATCCCGCGCCCCTGCTACAGCCGGACCCTTCCCCTCCGCGGGCACTGCCTGCCCTCCTTGGGGCTCTCCCACAGCTGGAGCCTTCTCCTTCCCGGGCTCATCCTTGCCTCCATCCCGAGCCTCGGCGGCAGCCGGCACCTTCTCCTCCGCAGATGCCGCCTGCCCTCCATCGTGCTGCGCAGCCGAAGCCTCCTCTGCCGGCGCTGCCTTCCATCCATCCCCGGGCTCTGGAGCGGTCGGGGCCATCTCCCCCGCCGGCTCTGCCTTCCCTCCTCCGGCCTCTCCCGCAGCCTTCTCCTTCCCAGGCTCTGCCTGTCCGCCATCCTGAGCCGCAGCAGCAGCGGCTGCAGCCTTCTCCTGCCCGGGCTCATCCTTCCCTTCGCCCTGCGCCCCGCCGGCAGCTGGCACCGTCCCCTCCATGGGTGCTGCCTTCCCCCCTTGGGGCTGGGTAGCCTGCAGAGCTGCTGGGACCAGTGGGGTTGTGCCGCCGTCTGCTTCGGGGGGTGCCGTGCCACCAGTCCCCCCAGCGCCGCTGCCCTGCTCCATGAGGACTCTCCGGGCAGGAGGCAGCTGCCCCGCGGCGCTCCCGGTTCAACGAGGCTCCTGCGGGAGAGAAGACCGGAGCTGAGGGCTCCCCAGACCCGACGCCCCGCAGAGGGGCACGGCGGGATGCGGGCAGCAGCTCTGCTCCAGTGGAAGAGGGGCGAGCTGCTGCCACCAAGCCGGGAGCCGTGCCCCTGCTGCCCGGCCAGCGTCACCGAGGCAGGGGCCCCATGCGGGCGCGGGTCCCTGCGCCATCCCACTGTGCCCCGGTACCCGCTGGGCAGTGACTGATCGATGGCCTGACGCCGGCACCTGTCGCTGCCACGGGGCCTCCGGCGTGCAAACAGCGCGGCCAGGGTGCCAATTTAAGGCCACGTCCCCCCATGGTGGGGCAGGAGACGACGGCTCCGGCCCCAGGCTGGCGGGGTGGGGATCACGCGAGGTAAGCATCCCCCGGGACGACCCCGCCACTGCCCACCCCGAACGGCCCGGGCAGGTCCAGCCACGCAGGCAGAGCCCTGTCTGCTGGGGAGCCATGCGGACCCCCAGCCCCAGCAGCCGCCGGCACTGCCCGTCCTCCTGCCCGGCGGTGACCACAGCTCCTGCCAGCCCGTCCCCTCCAGCCCAGCTCCCATTCCCTAAATCCCCTCTCTCCGCCCGGCTCCGCTGCCGTCCCTGCCCGGCCACCTCCCCTCACCCTGTCCCAAAACACCCCCCCTGCGCAGCCTGCACAACCATCCAGAGGCCAGGACAGCCCAGCCCTGGAATAAACCCACCAGTGACCATCCCAGTAACAGGAGAGTCACTTGCTGGTCTCACTGGGACAGGAGCTATAAGTAGCTGGTTCCCAGCCGAGCAGTCCCGCAGCTCAGCACGGGGAGATGCAGGGACAGAGGGGTTCCTCCACTCTCCCCGGGACCCCCCGCTGCCGTGGGCCGAGCCGGCAGCAGCGGGGGGCCCCCCGGCCCCTTATCCGGCGGTGCAGGAGGCAGTCAGGAGGGCAGCATCCGCACTGTGGCAGCGCCCGGAGGGAGCAGCCTCTTCTATCCCGGGTGTAATGGAGCCGGATTAGTGCGGGCAGAGGAGGATCCTTTACAGCAGCGGGAGCCATCCCGCTTCGCCTTTCCCAGCACCTGTCGCTGCTGGAGCCCGTTCAAAGGACACGCCACTCTTCCCTGTCCCCTGCGGGCCAGGGACGCGCAGACGCGGCGCAGGGGACAGGGACAGAGCCGCCTCCTGCCCCGGCATGGCACCGCAGGGAGGGCCAGCACGCGCCACAGCAGCACCCCAAAACCATCCCACGGGGGTGGCCTGGCTGAGCCGGACACCGTCCAAGTGGCCAAGTGCTTCCAAGACACCCACAGGTGATGCGAGGTTGCCACTGGCCACTCCGTGGGGATGGTGGCCGGGAGCAGGCAGAGCCGGTGCCCCCCGTGCCACTGAGCTGGGGCCGGCTCTGCCCACTGATGCCAGCCCGTGGCACCCGAGGCCACTGCTGGCTCTGGCCACCATTGCTGGTCCCTGACGCAGAACTGGGAACCGAGCACCGGCCAGCGGCTGCAGCCTCCTCCAGGAACCAGCTGAAAGACTCATTTCCTGCAAAACAAAGTGTTTTGGGGCTCAGGGAAAGAAACAAAGGAGCCGGGGGCTGGCAGAGGGGTCAGGCTGTGCGCGGGAGCTGCGTGGGCATGGCCAGCCCCTGCCGAAGGTGCAGTGCCTGCTGCTGGGGTGCTGCAGCCCAGGGCACGGCCTCGGGGACTGCGCAGGGCTGAACCCGGCGTGGGAAACCCCGGGGAGAGGGGGGCACGGCGGGCTGCACTGCGCCAGGGGCCGCAGAGGCCAGGAGCATGGGGCGAGGGCATGGCACGGCCACGCAGGGTCCTGAAGCCGGCGGATTCCCAAGGGCTACGCCAGGTTTCCGCCTGGTTCCCCCACCCAGCAGAACCCAGTTTACTTTAAATCCTTGAGCCTGAAGGCGAGGAAAGCCTCACTCACCAAGGGCGTGCAGACAGCTGCCCGCTGCTGGGCGGGGGGTTTGCAGGAGGAACCCCCAGTAACCGGACCCAGCCCTCCCCAGCCAGCGCCGCCAGGCAAAAGCACTCCAATAATACCAACTATTAAAAACCGAGGACATCCATTTATCATATCGGGGCAGGAGGAACGCCAGCGCAGGGCGGAGGAGGAAGGGCTCGGCTCCTCACCCACCGCTGGTGCTCCTTTGCGGGGGACGGGGGAGGCCGGGGCTTGGGGACGGGTGATAAAGCAGCAAGAGCAACTCCCAGCGAGAAAAAAAAAAAAGAGATGGCAGAGGCTGGGGGGGGTCAGGCAGCCGCCCCGCACCAGGCACCCTCCCAGCCCCGCTCCCCAGCGCTCCCCGCTGCCCCAGCCAGGCGCGGGCAGGGGTACCCTGCTCCTCCACAGGGCGCTGGCGGCAGCTGGGCAGGACATGGCAGTGAAGGGCTGAGCACTGGTGCTTGCTGGGGGAACTGGGCTCTCCCCAGTGAGGCTGAGATTACCATGGGCTCCCCCAGCCTCGGCCCCTGCCAGCTGCCAGGCAGGTCTCTCCTCCGGAGCTCTCCGGCCCGCAGCCACGTGGAGCTCAGCTCCTGCCAGACTGAGCCTGGCTGCTCCCACACGGGACTGGCGCAGGGCTGAGCTGAGGCCAAGGCCACCAACGCCGGCAGCGGTGGCAGCCCAGGAGCGGCAATGGCCTCGCCCGCAGCACCTCCCAGGAGGCTGCAACGCTGTCGGGGCAGGGGAAGGGACAGTGCTGCTCCCCCTCGCCAAATCCCGGCTCCCAGCGAGCCACCAGCTTCTGCGCAGCAGGGGCTGGGGCCAGGCTTTGCCAGGGGAGCTGTGGTTCACGCAGGATGCAGCCGGGGCTCCTGAGCAGGCACCAGGCTCTCCTGCTCCAGCCCTCGCAGCTCGGACTCATGGCTTCAGCAAGCCCGGCTCCGTGCTGGAGAGCCTCCCTCTTCCCGAGATCAGAGACAGGACCTGGAACGCGATGAGAACCAAGAGGGATCATGCAGGAGCAGGCACACGGCTCCAACGGGCGGCGCCGATGCAGTCATAGATGTGCAGAGGTTGGAGCATCGCTGGCATCCACGGCTCTTGGGGACCACGGCACCCGCATCGCCCGTTCTTGGCACAGCCCCCGCTCCCGTGGTGAGCGGGAGCCCCCCCAGCTCGGCCTCCGCAGGGCACGCTGGCAGGAATAACCGCTGAGACGTCGTGCCTTGGGCAGCGGGGACTCTGCCCACCGACTGTCATCGCCAACGTACAGTTTGGAATTGCCTCTCCCCTCCTGCGGCCGAGGGCTGCCAGGCACCTGGAGGCCACCAATGTCACTCGAGGCACGTGCTGCCACCGCTCCGCCAGCCTTCGGCTCTGCACCCTCCCGGCAAGCCCCAGGTGGAAGGAGCACATCCACTCGCCACGCACCGCAGCCGTGGCCCGCTTGGCGCGGTGGAATTTGGGATAAAATTCTCCAAGGAGAGCAGGAGCTCCTGCCTGGAAGCCGGCCAGCCTTCCCGGCACGCTCGCAACCTTGCACGCTCACCGAGAGTCAGGGCGGTGTCCGGGCGCGAAGCCTTGGGACAAGGCGAGGATGCAAAACCCTGAGAGCAGGCGCTGCCGCGCCGGGGAGCCCTAGGAACGGTTCTCCAAAGGAGACGTGTGCGAAGGGTGAGCGTCCCACGGTTTGGCACTGTCACAAGAGACAATTCATTGGTGGGCAAAGGGAAATAAGCTGAAAACGGTCCCCTCGCAAGAAAGATTTGTAGTATTGAAGGGCAATAGCTGCTGCACACCAGGATTTCAGATGCCTTGGTCCAAAAACCCCCGCCCCAGTGAGCAGCACGGTGCTGTGGGTCTCTGCAGAGCGCGGGAGCAAACCAACCACCACCAAGGCTTCTCAGGCTGGGTTTTCTTTTTTTTCCCTCCCCATTCAGGAACTTAAGCCAGAGTCTACATTGGCTGCAGCTGGAAAACAGCCTGTCCTGGGGCTAGCTGGCAAAGCACCAAGCACGCCAGTTCCCTAGCTACGCGGTTGTCACAACTTCGGCAGCACACTTTAACCTTTCTGCTTTTCACGGGTAAGGGAGGCTGCCTGCCCAGCCAAGCCCAGCCCGTCCTCCAGGAAACCCTACACCCTGTCTAAATTGAGCGGCCGGGCGGGCGAGAACAACATCCCACCTGAATCCCGGCCATCCCGCTGTAACACAAGCCAGCCGGCCTACCCGTCCCGGTGGGGACCAACTGGGCAGGCGGTCGGCAGCTTAACTGCTTCCATCAGCACCCAGGACTTCCCTGGACCAGCTGCCGCCGTGTCGTGACAAGTCCCGTCAAGGTGATGGGGAGAGACAAGGAAAAATCCCAACATCATCAAAAGAGCTTCCAGAGCTATGCGGCAGCTCGAGGACAGCAACGTGGCTGCCAGCAGCGAGCACGGATCCGAATCACCGGGACCTGCCCACGCGCAGGCTGTCCTTGCCAGCCCCGTGCCAGGCCACGCTGGCAGCCAAGGAGGTAGCCCAGAGAGGCCAATGAGAACCAAAGCTGTGCTTTTGAGATCAGCATCAAGCCTTTTCGTAAGAATCTCCTTCAACCGCTAATAAGATCTTGCAATTCACAGCTACCCTTCAACGTAGAAGTCCAGAAAAACATTGGCTGCCTTTTAGTTCCAGCTCTAGTCTGAGCTCAGCAAATTACTTTGGTACCAACTGGACTAGGAAGGAAGAACCAGTACCCAGCTCCAGCTCTCCTGGACCCCCCTCCTCCCCGCCCCGCTCACAAAGGTGAGGAGCTTTGAGTTCTTGAATGCAAGAATGTTTTTGCAAAATCCGCGCAGCAAGAGCACAGATGGTACCTCAGCCTGTCAGCCTACCCCGACTCCAAAGGCGGGTGCTGAGACAGCACTCGGTCAAATCCCGGTCTCCTGCTCCAGTCCTCTAACTTTGTTCTCCCATTTCTACTCCACTGGGACTGGGAAAACCACCTGCCACCGTTCCCTGCTGAAGCCTTAACTGAACCCCGTCCTCAGCGATGGTCAGCTCCTCCGGGACCCCCATCACTTGCACGTTTTCCACACTAGAGCCGTTTTTCCAGCATTTCACGCTTTCCCCCCGTTTAGCGGGCAGGTTGCGCTAACCGCCCGCCGCCCACCGAGAATCCGCTGTGACTCCGGAGAGCCCTGCCAAACGCCTGACGGCCCTGCAGCACACGGCAGCCCGAGCCTCCCTTTCGCTCAGTTTGCAGCGTACGAGGAATAGAAGAGGCCGTGTTTGCGGGAAGAGGTAATACCTTTTATTAGACCTGACGATACCGCTGGGGAAATCTGGCGAGCTGTCAGGCATACGAACCCTTCCTCCGGTCTGAAGCAGAGGCCATGTAGGGCCGTCCCAGAAATCCAGTTGCACCATCCTTCAGGGATCAGCGTCTGCCCCAGCTCAGCAGCCTCATTATCTTGCTTGCCTTTGCATTCTTCCGCAGCTCATCGTCATCGCTCAGGCTTTCCTCCGACCCGCCGTAAATATTTGCTGCTCTCGCTGCTGGCTCCAGCGCTCGGGGCTGGAGCAGAAGCTTCCTTGGCTCCACGCTCGAGGTCCTGCTGCGTCCCCATCCAGCGGAGCACACGGAGCGGCTCTCCTGCAGCAGAAAGAAAGTTAAGGGAGACCAAGGGAAAATCTGCGAGGCCTTTGGCCGGACCCACGCCGAGCTGCGTGGTTTGCAGGAAGAGGATGCGTACGAGATCCTCTTGCTCCAGTCACTGCCGTAATTTGTACGTCAGCGGGGCTGTCGCGCTTACCGGTGACAACCGGCCTCTCGGCCAGGCTGCTGCTGACCGTCCCGCTCCGCGACGCAGGGCTATCGGCAGTCAGCAAAATGTGGCTGAAGCCATCCCGTATGACTGGCGCAGCCACGTAGAGGTCGAGAGCAAGGAAGGAAAAGCTGAGACTGGCAAAAAGGAATCCCCGTCTCAGCTCGCCCTGCTGTCACAGGGTCATTCATCCTCCGGTACCAACGCGCTTCCTCAAAATAGCTTGCTCTCCAGCTCCTCGGTTATTAACTGCACAATACCTCTGTTTCCATTCCTTCAAAGAACCGCTGTGTTTCAGCGGGGGTGACTTTCCCTCTCTTTTAATCCAAGCGGAGGAGAAGTCCGAGGCCGGTGCTCTTTGAAGCGGTGCGGTTCAGTACATCCACACAAAACCGCTCACTCGCTGCCGGCTGCTGTTCTGCAGCGATATCCCTTGAGCATCGCGCTTTTTAGGAGAATTCCCGCAGAAACATCATCCTCGGGTACAACAAATGTTCATCTTTGAACTGAGCTCTCTGAGGACTTTCTGCCCCTGTTCTCTCTCTCAGATTAAGCGTAAAACACCAGCAATTGCTTGATATGCTTTCGGAAGGATAATGAGACGGTGCCTCTTACCGTGCCCCGTGGCTGGAGCCCGACATCTAACAAGTTTGAGCTCCCTCTCTTCTCCACCCAAATGAAAACCCGAATAAAAGGCCACATGCTGAGAATACTTTTCCAGTGGTATCCAAATTCAGAGGAAATGAGAGCAAACGTTTGCCATGACCCCCAAAACAAGAAACCGTTTGTCCTCCCTGGACGCACCAATTCCGTTTCCCATGTTTTCCTCCGCTGCAAACAGCGCCGCAGCGGCAGCGAGCAGCCCGGCGCACAGGGGTCCCAGCAAGCGATGAAGGCAGGAGGCCCGCAAACGCGGGAGAGGCAAAGCCTCCGTGTTGCTACAGCCACGAGAAGCCAAGCCAGGCCGAAGAGCTTTATGCGTTTCCCAGCCTGACCGGGAGGGCTTGCTCTCCTTCCTTCTGCCAACGGCTCCGAGCCCAGCTCCCGTGACCGCCAGACCCCGCGTCTTTATTTTGCAAGTCCCTTTTGGGCTCAGGAAGCAGCAGCACAGGATCCCCGCAGTTGGCAGAACAGGTAACAGCAACACAGGCACGTCAGCGGGCAGCAGCGGCGTCCGAGAGCATCGTGTGGAGTAGTTGCATCCCTAAGCCCTTCGTGCCCTCACGCAGCCTTTTGGAGTCATCTTTCTCGTTAAGGCAAGTCCGAGGAAAGGCCTAAAACACAGTCTTACCAGGTAAGAAGTCATATCACGATGCTAAGGTAAGAAATAATTCTTAGTAAACGTTAATCGAAATTTGATCACCTCTTTGCGACGCTGGAAGTTTTGTCCTCCAGCACATCAGGGCACTGGCTCTATATTTAGCCCCGCGAGCTGCGCTAGACTGGCTAGGAGACGACGCGGTTTTAGCCGAGATAACCGCGCTGGCAAGAGCCAGGGAGGCAGCCTACAGCAAGTCATTTGCCAGTTAAGTGGTTCCCCAAATAGAATGACTTCAGCTGTAAAACAGCAGCAGGTTTAATGCTCTAATATACACAGGGAACTACTTTAAAAAGCGTGGGCAAGATTCATATTAGCACTCAACAAGGAAGGTCAGACCTGCAATACGCCGGCTCGCAGGAGCCTCACGTTACTTAGTTCAAGTTTAATACAGACTAAAAGCCTAGGAAACAGACACCTGAAACCAATACTTAGGTGCACAAAGCCAAGGCAGCTCCTCCAGCTGCGCACATCCCTGTGCGTTCATCGAGTACCCTTTACCGAAAACTCTTCTGCAGGAGAGGGATTCAGCCCACTAGCAAGAAACAGCGATCAGATTAGGGATTTTTATTTAGTTCAAATACACAATATTTGTATACAATATCAAAACCTGGTTTAGTCTTTAGAGAACAAGATGTCTAGACGTGAAGCGAGGCCATGGAGACCGTACGGCACTGCCAGTATGCCGTGCCTCAGCCACCTGCCTCAGGTGGAGTTAAAACTACTCAATATAACGATAATGGAACCAAGGGCAGGAGTTGAGACTGAGCAGTCACATAAAAACAACTGTTCCCTCTCTGCCTATCAAGAGAGTGGGGAGGGATGGGATCTCCCTCCTGCTATCGCGTGGTTGCGTATCAGCACCGGAATCGATCCGAGAAGTTGGGAGACTTCGGCATAGTCAGCGGCTGATCACTGGGCTTCACTTCTACGCTGCGGTATTTGCGTATTGGGTTTGCCTTGTGAACCTGTGGGGGTGGGGAAAAAAAAAAAATCAAGGACAAATTGAAGCAAATGGTTGCAGTTATGACGAAGCTGAAGCTTGCAGGCGAGCCATCGGCGGGATGAAGGCAGGCGTCTGTCTACAAGGCTACCACGCTGCCTAGGGCACCGGAACGAGCCACCGGGAGCACACAAGGCACGCTTTGGGGCTGTGGATTTTACAAAGATCATTCTGCTCCGATGACTACACGTGTACAGCTCTGAAAATCAGCCATCCCAGCAGAGCTGCCTTTTTGGTTTTTTTTAAGACCAGTTGTAAAGTTAACGAGGACTCAATTTGCAACAGGGAAACTTGAAAAGACAGTCTTAATGCAGCTCAACGTTGACATTAGCTCATTTATACTATATTCACACATCCCTTTGGGTTACTTCACAACCCCTGTTCAGAACTAGCTCACTTACCAGTTCCTGCCTTAGCTTCGCTACTTCTTCCTTTTCACGCTCCTCTTGTTGCTGCCTGACCTGCTCTTGATACCTCTCCCTTATGGCTTCTGCATCTGCCAATCGTTTTTCAAATTCTTGCCGCTCTTTAGCTCTTTTTTCTGTTGCCAGCTCAAAGCTTTCAGGAACTACGGAATCAGAAAGGCTCTCTAAGTTTAGAAACAGAGGAGATAACATTGGTGCAAAGACAGTCAGGTAAAGCAGAGCAGTACTAGCACCAAACGGAAGCCTCCCTCTGGAGCGCGTCACCTTGCAGGGGTAGTTAGTGGATACCTCCGGGTTCAGGAAAAGAGAAAACCTTACGCCCAAACGTGAGCAGCGTTAACGCAGACGTCACCCTGTCACGGGCCTTCTCATAGGAGGGAGCAAGCACACAATTGTTGGTACAAGTTTTGGGCTGGTTCTATACCCCACAAAGTTTAGTCAAGCCTAAGCCGTAGATGCCTTCGTCTCATTAGAAGTGGGAGGAAGAGACTGACAGCCGCTGCAGAAATGCCAGCTGTCTCCCCAGGAGCTCCTCGCACACCATTTACCCTTATCCCAAGCTGGCACGCATCAATCATCTGCCAATTGCAGCATAGCTGTTAAATACAGCTGCCGTGTTAGTGCAGGACAGGCAAGGAAACTCCCCGCTCCCTGGGGACACGAGCTGTTAGGGAATTAGTTGATTAAGTGCACGGCATTATTGGCTGTGCTGATAAAGAAGAGGCAACAGCCAGTCTAAACATCATTTAATTGCATCAGTTCTGAGTTATCAGCCAAGCCTGTGTAGCGAGTGCTTGTAACTCTACCTGATAACAGCTTATTTTCCTTTTTAGGCACAAAAGGCTCCTGGTACATCACTGTGTTGGGACGAGCTTTAAAACATGCCGCCTCTTTCTGCTTTTTCAGGTCTTCTTCACACTGCAAGAGAAGAGGAGCCCATCAAGCGCCAGGCATAACGAAAAGATTATGTCCCTGCCCCCCAGACGTCAGCATTCCCAACACTGGAAAAGCCAGCTTGGCTTAGATCTAATCATTTGCATAGAAAACTATATTAAAGCCAAAAAGTCGTGTCACCTGTTGCCTGCCAGTTACTTTTGCCAAAAATAGCCTGAAGAAAATTTCAGGTGCCCACTGCAGATTTCACATGAGAAAAGCAGTATATTATTTATACGTTAATAAATCCCCAAGCACAGAGATGGTCAGCAAAGGCATCCAGCTGCACATAGCTGCTCCTCAGAAAATACCCCACAGCCGTTCAGGCCGTTGTGGTAAATCCCATCACTTACCATAAAGGGAGAAAAAAACCCCAACCCAATCCACCAATCCTTAACCCATAGCACAAGTCTCACGCCAAGGACAGAATAATTCATTGCTCAAACGCAGATCCTGATTCCACTCAAGCAGGACACTTTCTGAAGTCGATCACAACTTCGCTAGCTGCTTTCAGTCTGGCCATACCTGTTATCCTTTCCATCCTACCTGCTGCTTCCAGCTCTGTAGCTTGGCAGCTCCCCGTTCATCAATCTGCAGATTGAACGGTTCGGGCTGTGTTGGGTTTTTGACCTTCTTTTCTGGCAGCTTAACGTGGTCAAAGTAAGGCAGAGGTAGCGCTTTGAACTTTGGCACCTGAAAGAAACAACTTGCAATATTTCTTGCCCTTTCCTCAAAGGCAGGAAGCTTTGGAAGTTGAACAGCCAACAGCAAGAGGCAATTCCTGCCACACCCTTTTTACTTAAGGAGTGGAACCCAAGGTAGCTTTTAGTTCTTACCTCTTCCTTCTGCAATTCTTCTATTTTTTTCTCTTTTTGTATTTGCCGCTCTCTGTCACGGGCATCGAAAGAGAAGGGGCAAACTTCCACATGCCTCTGCTCCGGCATTTTCGGTTTGAAGGGCACTCCGTAATGTGGCATAGGGTTAGCTTTGATCACAGGGACCGCTTCTTTCTCCTAAAGGGATATGAGCGTTAGGATCTGACACAGCACCGGATTTTTGATTTTCGTAGAAAGACTACAACTCCTGCCAAACACAGCCATGAGTACTCAAGTTCCTTTAATAAGGGTCACAACAGCGTCAAGCAAACCCTCTGCACACTGCGAAAATTAGTCATCCCCAAAGTACCAATTTACAGGCATCCCGAACCACAGGTAAGTTCTGCCTCTTTCCAAACCACTATCATTCTAGTACTCGTGCAAATTAGACTGTAATCCTTTACGTCCTCTTCACAAGAGGGAAAGGAGGAAGGACACGATGCATTCTGAATCCTGCTCCCCACCTCCTGGGATCTAGAGTGACTGCAGGGAGAAGAAAGGCCACATGCAATATCTGCCCTTCTCAACGACAGAATAGGGAAGGGCAACGTCCCAAGCAGTTTGCTTTCCTCCTTCACGCCAGCAACACCTCAGAAGCCCTAGTCAGTGCTTAAATTGAGTTATCTCATTTTGTGTGAGAATTCAGTTTCTGTAAAATGAGTAGCAGCAACTAGATCGTTAGATGGGAACGGCACAGAGAAAGATGACCACTGGAGGAGCTGCCTAACAGGAGGGAAGGGTCTAACCGAGCCAGACCATCACACCCAACTGGCAGACGCACGGCAGGCCGGCCAAGGCAGACACCGTGGTGGGACCAGCAGGCTCAACTACAGCCCATTCCCAACAGTTACCTTTTCTTCATCTCTGCCAGACATTCGGGTTCTGCTTTTCAAGGTGAAGACTGGAGACTTGGGGACGGTAACGGGAAGCACTTTCTTCTCTGGAACACCCTGTTCAGAAGAGCCAGCAGGGAGTTACCCAAGCCAAAGTGCCAAGAAAAAGCACTACAGAGAAACAACCTGACATAGCACAGTACATAGCCACTGCAGTTCTTGCCTAATGACAGACAGCGCTTACTGAAGATTATTAAATACATATTGCAACATAGCCATGGACATTCTGAAGCTAATTGCCACCTCGTTCCTAATTTCCAGGTCTGGGTATTACTAAACTTCTTACCACAACGTCCTCCAGGATTTTCGTGGGACATGGCCTGGAATGGAATTCAAAGTGCTCTTCCTCCTGCTGCTTCTTACTCTCACGCTCCTGAATCCTTTTTTCGATTTCCAACTCAAAGCCAATGGGTTGCGTGAGCTCCTTCACAGAGGGTTTCTTGGGCAGGAGTGGTCCGCCCTCAAAGATTTTGTGATCGAGTTCTCGTGCTTTGAATTTGTACCTACAGAGGAAAGACGGAGATAGTCACCGACGTGTCGTACATGGCAAGACGCAGCTTCTAGCAAACGGCTTCTCTCACAGCACAAAAGAGCAATAGTCAGGTACAGAAGCAGTTGTGCCACACACACACGTTACTTAGTGTGTGGCTCCAGTTAGCAACTTCTCCTTTGCTTTTGAAACAGCAAGACTTTAAGGAAAAACCTTATGGATTGCTTTCTTGGAAATCCCAAACTCTGTCTGCAGCAGAGTTTCGAAGTGTACACAGGCTGTACTGGGTTTGCTTTACTGATCGTAAGCTGTACGCAACCCAAGATCAGCTCTCCTCAGAGCACTTTCTTCAACATGAATTGGCTACTTTTCACATCCCTGCAATCCGAGCCATAGGATTACGCACAAGCTAAAAGAATCTCCATGTTTTTATACTACTCATTCTTTTACGCAAAAAGGGTATTCCTGAGAAGTGATATTTTGGCATCTGAAAGGTGTTTCCAGTGTTGGTACAATTCTCTCGGAGGACTAGGGTAAGCCTTTACTTACTGTTGAATTTTCTCTATTTCCTCTGCTTCTAACTCTGCTGTAGTTTTGCAGGTGACAGGTCTGAAGCGCTGCTTTGTTAGAAGCATTGGCGTTTTAGGGGTTGTAAGCCGAGCCTTCACCGACTTTCCTGGAACTGGGCCTGTAAATTCAGGTCAGAGACCAGCTGTTAATGGCAAGGCCTGCAACAGGCACAGCCTGTTTGCTCAGCAGCAGCAGTCAAAGCATCGTCCTGGCTCTGCCACCGTCTCTGTGGACGGGCTCCTGGCTGGGCGCAGCCAGGACTGCTCACCATCAGATTTCCTGCTCCTCAAATGGTAGCGAGAGGGCGTGCGTTTTTGGAATGCTTCTACCTGCTCAGCAAGGGACACGTATTCTGATGTGGCTTCTTCGAGTTTTCTTTTGTTTCCCTGGGACAGATTGAAAGGTTTGGGGACAGTGGGTCCCTTCGGCATTCGCCCCTGGAGACAAAAAAACCACAGTCATTATGGCCATTTAACACAGGATGCTTCGATGACATTTCCTTTCCCCACCGATTCACAGTATCTGTCCCTTCCCCTTATTGAAAAGAAAATAAGGCTTATGTCTAATGTTAAGTGTCTGAATGTGCACAAGCTAGTTATATCGGGAAACGGTATCAAGTGGGAGATTAAAGCATGAAGTCCAGTGACCAGAAGATGTGACATTAACGGGCCCTTTTCAAAAGGGTCCTTTAGACTCTTGTGGCAATGCAGATACGCAGTGAGCTAACAGTTACGTTTGCACAACGCTTGCCTCTCCTATGATAACCCTCTTTGCGGATTACCGGCAGCACGTGTGTTGCAAAAGCAGAAAGAAGGTGACGAATTAGTCAACTGACTGCTGGCAAGATTCTGGTTCTCACCGGGGAAGGATGATGCTTTCTCAGTACCGCTGCAAAATCCAGTTCCTTGTACTCGTTCCCAGGCTGGCTTTCCACGTGTTGTTTAATTCTATTCTCCGTGCAGAAGTGGAAGTCAATTGGCTTTGTTACTTGACCAACAGTTCTCTTCACGGGTTGTCCTAAAGAAAAAGAGCACGTAAGGTCTGGAAGCCTTTGGGGGGCATTTACTTTCTAATAACTTGAACAGGTTTTGGAGAACTCTTCTGTAATATTTCAAAACACGACAAAAACCAAACAAACCTGTTCCCAGGCAGTTTAGGGGCTGATCTACATTAAAAGCCACCTAATCCTAATACTCATTACAAGATCTGGAATGATTGTTTTTACAGGTACTTGTTCAGCTCCATGCAGCACTCCCCAGCTGAGCCCAGTACAGCTTCAACTTGCAGTTCAGCTAGAGCCCACCTGCTCCAGCAATAGCTGCTTTCAGAGACTCCTCGTTCTTCTTCCGCAGCTCCATAACCTCCCGCTGCAACTGCTGCATCTTTTCCAGCTCCTGCTCCTCCGTGCTCTTCAGCTTGCCAGAAAGATTGGTCCTCCTGCAGAAGCATGTTAAAGGGTGAGATATGCCTTCCTGCTTCGCTGGTTATTAGCATGACGTTAGTGCAAAGGAACAAGCTTATCTCCGACTTCGTTGCAGAAGCATCACTCATTACAAAAGTATACTCTTTAAAAAAGATCTATTTGGGTTTTGTTTGCTCAAGAAAGCTTGCAGCTAACTGCTATCCTGCATACACATTTGCTGTATGCACGCTTCATCCATTAGCAAGAACAATTTTTTCCTCAAATTAAAAGCAAAAGCTTTCCTTTGCACGGGTTCAGGCGGTGAAGTACATTTCATCCTAATACTGTTGTCTTGACCTGGTGTTTACTAAATGTGATACCATCACATGCTAAGTTGAAGCTGAAAACACTCTAGCCAGGGCTGTCACCTAAATCAACAGTGGTTCGCAAAGACAAGTCACAAGAAAGCTACGTACTTTAACACTGTTGGCGTGGAGGGCATGGTCAGCTTGCTTTTCCCTCTCCCTTGGGAGAGGTCGGGATTCTGCAGGGGCCCGCTCTCTGTGGATACTTCTGTCAGATTCTCTTTGCTGCTAGAACTGAGGTAACAAGTTGTTACAGCAAACCACTCCAATTAACTGTGCTCTAAGTGACCGATCACCTGCAGCTCTCACCACCATGCATAACAGCCCAACACCTGGTGAGTTCTAGGGCATGCCAGACCGGCCTTACCGCACCACGAGCCCAGGTACCGATCGTCTAGTTTTCCCTGGTACCCTAAGGCTGTAGGAGGGAAGATGAATTACTGAGTTTTTGGAACTTAGGCTTTTCTTGAGGAGGTAGGCGTACTGTCGTTCATCTAGGTACAGCAGCATTTGAACGATTGCACTTCAATTTCCTGACCTCAAGCTTATCACCCTATGATATCTTAGTGGTTAAGATAATTTGAGAAATATTTTAGCTGTGACTCTTTCATAGCTTATGACTGCCTGATGACTTCCTGACGGATAAGTTAAGCCAAATTTAAAGCTAGCTGACAGGCGCCGAGTAAGGAGCTTAAGAAACCCAAGCTTATCTCATTCACTTCTCTGCCTCCAAATAGAGCGTTTCCTTCGGGTCTTACAGCTATTTCTTCTTGTTATGAAACCAATATCAGGAATCGGGTTTCGGTTACCTCCCCCTAACCTTCCTGTGGAACCCTCTCAGTCATGTGGAAATCCTTTCCAAAGGAACAGTTGTAGCCCCCCCCCCTTCCCCGCCCCAAACAGAAGAGCTTTGATGACGTACATTCTCATTTTTTTCAGGGGTGGAACCTCTTCCTTATTAACCAAGGCATTAGCATTTCTCTCCGCTTTGATTCTAGCTGGCTGTTTGCGTTGCTGGGTTTTTCTCTGCTTTGTAGCCTGTCTCCTACCCGCTCTAGAGTGGAACAGAAAACGGAGGTTAGTTTTCCCACAGGTCTGAGAAGACACACAATCTGTATAATGCTTTTTATGTCAGTGCATCACCTAACTCCAACGTGCCCCCTATGCAAGTGGTGTGTTTAACACAACAATCCAAATACAGCATGAATTATTTAAGTTTAACAATCCATAAACTTAATATCCCTTGGTATATATGAGCATACAGGCCCCCTTGCATTCATATCAACAACGAGCTCTGCCCAGCTCAGGCAGATATAAACAAAGAAACTTTATAAGCCACTTCAGTTTCAGATATCCTCACATTCCAGAAGCTCCCAGTGCTACCGAGTCTCACTTGACAAGTATGCGAGACGCTGCATTACATTTCCACCCCTAGAGATTGTCCCTCCAGCTTAGCAAGCAGATCAGCTGTCCCAATACACCATCTCCGTGCTGGAGAACCTCAGACCCGGAGGACGGCCCAAGAACAGCTAGAACTGCAGATCCTGAGAGCAAGGACCCGCTTCGTTACACCGTCACCAAGCTTCACACAAGCCGAATACAAGTATTTCACCTTTGAGAGGCCTCTGCAGGAGCAGCAGCTCTCCAGCTTGACAGGGATCCAACGATATTCTGAGGAACCGCGCTGGCCTGCGCACATTCTGCTTCACCGTGGCTTTCACCTGAGAACAGTGACAAACGTCAGCTCATACACATATACGTATATATACATATACGCACGCACGGAGGAATGCTAAAGTGAAACCACATGAGACCTTGCTAGACAGCAATATATGAAGATGGTCCCGCAAAAGCCAGACTGAGGCCTTTTCATTTTGCCAGTGAAAAGCGGGTAAAATTTATCCTCTCCCCCCCATACCATGCCAGCTTACTCATTGTTATTCCTGGTGATGCGACAGAAGACGGAGTAACATCAGGCTTTGAAAAAGCAGGGCTGTTCTGCGAGGCCTTTGCCAGATTTTCTTCAGGAGAGACATTCTCCAGATTGGCTTTTTGGTCTGTGAGGAAAGAGAGACTTTCACTATACATACTACGTTAGGAATTTTTAACAATACCTCAGAATATCATTATGATGTTAACAAAGTCACCTGACAAGTTACAGATGACAATCAAAGTTTAAATACAAAACCAAAACAAAACAAACCCATGCATGATGAGCGATGCAGTTAACAACATGAGTAACCCGCTGGCACAGAAGCCAGGTCCAAAACGAGGATCACGTCAAGCCCTCATCCAAAGGGAAAACAAATCAAGGAGCTGGAAGCAACTTACCAAACCAGGAGTCTGCGTCAAGCACGTCATCATCACTCAGAGCCGCAAAGTTGATGCAAGGGTTTGGGACATCAAAGGAATAGCGAGATTCTGGGTGAGACATCTTCACCTTCACGCTGTCCCCGCGAGTCCTCCGCTTGCACCCCTGCAGTCCTTTAGACAACAAGCATCGGCCGCCTGTTACACCAACCCCAACACGGGTGTCAGCTAAATCATTCTCTGCCTCTCTTCCTCGGCGCAGTTTCTAGAGGTAGACGCCGGGACAGCCTTTGGTACGTGTTCCTGCCTTGTAATCACAGCCTTCGGACTGAACGCCTCATAAGCAACGCAGTTTTTTTATTCTACTGCTGACTGGGAAAGCTAAGGAAGTTTTACCAGTGTTGACATACGCAGGTTCAAAGCTATTAAAAAGATCAGATTTTGAAGGTTTTCTTTCTACCCGTAGGCACTAGAACTGTATCTTTTGAAAAGGAAGTAAAGTACAAAGCTTTTCCAGAGAGCGACTGATGTGCCCTCCCCTCCCTCTCTCGGCAGAGTTCTGACCCTCGCCAGGGCACAGATTTACGAAGCGAGAGCCTGACGATGAGGCTGGCTCCAGAGCACCGCAAAGCGCAGCCTTTCTCCCTCTGAAGGGCTACAAACAAGAACTACCGACACAAACATGCTCTTCTACGGAG